ACAATTTAATACATAATATAATTTAATATAATTTAAGCTGAATGTTACATTTTCTAAAACATAAGGACTAGAAGATCACACATTAGCTTAACTGGCATGAGAGAGTGGCTTATCAGCATTTTCTGTGCAAAAGTAATGTATAATATGTACTGTATATCCAAAATTTCAACTCATACTATGACAATGAACTGGTAACTTTTGCATGATATCCATTCCAGGATGCCAAGAAGGGACACAATCCCTAAACCACTGTTACATAGAACAGATAATTAATTGTGTGATGCATAAGGGTTGGTATTAAATAATTTAATACATTATATACATTTGAAAAGTTGACATGTTTTGTGGTGACATGAAATACATCATCTGAAACTATTTTCAACAGCATTTAGCTAATTATTTAAGCTATAAAACAAATGAAATAGAGAAAAAATGATTTAACAAATAGATAAATTAATTATAATCATAATAATAATAATTCAGTGTGGAGAAATTATTGATGTAGAAATTATACACCTTGACACTTTTCAGTTCAGCCAAAAAATTAAGTACTTATCCTCAAGTTGTTCTCAACCCATATGACTTTCCAAACCTGTATGATTTTTTTTTTTTTTTGTAAATTAAAATCGGTGTGGTACAAAACTACATTAGAACAGAGCAAGTCATAGAGGTTTGGACATGAGAGTAAGTAAATGATGATAGAATAGATTTATTTACTTTTGTATGTATTGATTGATTGATTGTCTGTCTGTCTGTCTAAGTTGCATATAAATGAAATATTTCTGTAACAGCTTATAACTGCAAAATAATGAACACGTATAGCCTGAAGTAATGATGTTTTAATATTGGTAATGTCACATTCCTCTCCTTTTTTGTGCCACCTGCCTGAATGATGATGTTTAAGGTGTCCTATCACATATTACTTGACAGCTATATATGCGTGTAATGCACATTATTTTCAACACAATGACTCATGGGTTAAATGCAGACGCCTCCATCATCACACAAAGGCAGTCAGCTCCTCTTTCAGCCAGAGGCACATTCTTCTTTGTTCACCACTAAAACTCGAGGCAGGTATTTCACGGCTGGTTGCCTTTTTTAATCCATTTTCCTAGAATCCCCTCTCAGCTCTGTTCTGTATCGTTTTGGCCTGTTATGGGGCTGCAAATGAAATACTTTGTTAGAAATGTCCCTTGTGTGTAGAGGAGCACCTCTGCAGTCAGACAAGGAACTTGTTGTGATAGATGGAGCATATGGCAACAAATAAATATAGATAGATCGTCTCAAGTTATGCATGTAACCATGGTTCCCCGAGAGGAACCAACAGGCAGGCCCTAGGAGTGGTGGAACCATGGTTACATGCGTAACTCGAGACCTTCCCCTTCTAGGGAACTCCACACTCCATCCCCTAGGGTACACAATGGGGAACAAAATACCCACTACGCCATACCTCGGTGCATGCCTGACCACCTGGTGAGAGAGCACCAAATAAATGGCAAACATGCACCGATTTGTTGGCACGCCAACAAAGCTGAATAACTGGGGGGAAATGGGGCAACCCAGCCAAAATAGTTTAAAGGAGGGGCATCCCATTCAGCCAAGATGTGAACATAACTGTCCTCAAACAGTAATGCATCTAGAAACAATGGGCCATCTGCTTAAAACCCTGATGTAGGGGAGCCAGCCCAAAGTATGGGGAGTTCAGGGGACCGCCTGCTTGGAAATAACCTGAGATCAGGGGAGACCGCCCACACATAAAAAGGAGAACTGCCCTACTTTGAAACCCTAAGGCGGGGAGGCAGCTAAACCCTACTCACAGCTCAAGGAGGAGAGACCGGACCATCAGCCACCTGGTTTGCCAAAATTGCCAATATACGCAAAGCTCACCAAAAACATCATAAGTAACACACCGAGGGGTGGGGTGCTCAGGAGAGACATCAAAGAGAGACGTTAGATTGCTGGTCACAACGCTTCCTGTCAATCACCTCTCTGAGGTCTCCCCTCCTCCTCTTAGCATCGCACTTCCTCACTTGCTCTACATGATGTTTTATTAACAAGGTTCGGGAGGAGCACGATCAGATAATCAACCAATTCGGCACAGGTGGAACTCGTTAGTTAATCATCTTAACTAGCACAATATATGGAAGGATATTGCGGACTATTTTCAAAAGGAATTGCAAATTGTATTTTCAGTTGCGTTTTCCATATGTAGATGCATAAATTGTGACATAATCCAAATGCAATTGCAAATCCTGCGTTACCGTTTGCATTTTCGCTTTCGCGAACGCAGTGACTGCCAAATTTCAAATGAAAAAGCAAAGTCCATTTGCAACTGTATTTCCCATGTCTTAGGAGTTACGAGCCTGTCATATTTAAATAGCAATATTAATTACCATGTCTGCTTTTTCACTCTCGCTGCGTCGCGCATGTAACCTGCCAAAACTCAAATGGAATCACAATTCCTTTTGCATTTGAATTTCTGATGTCTACATGGAAAGCTGCCAATCATTGTCAGGGGCAGGACTATACTATGGGGCGTGTTTGTATTGGGAGGTGACGTCACTCACAGACGACCGTGCCAAATGCTCTGATCAATGGAGGTAATCGGTAAAGGCTCTGTTAAAGGCAGCTACCAATCAGTTTTGTACCTGTGTGAACGAACAGACCTTCTTGGCACAATACATAATTCTGTCTTTTTTTACCCCAAATGTAGCGATTATCCCCTGCTAACAGGGTGAGCCACATGTACGCACAATAGGTCAATATTCACTATTAACCAAACGCTTTTCACCTGTCTCTGCATCTCTCACTGTTTACACTCACTTACACTTTTAATCCATAATAGCGAGCGTGTCACACCTTTCTCAGGAGCCACAACGGTACGCACAATAGGCTAATATTCACTATTAACCAAACGCTTTTCACCTGTCTCAGCATCTCTCACTGTTTACACTCACTTACACTTTTAATCCATAATAGCGAGCGTGTCACACCTTTCTCAAAACCTTTTACCGTTTGCACTCCACTTGATGCACTTAAGCAAACTAACAGTGCAAATCTACACGTATTTACTAATTTGCAACCTATATCTTATTCCTATCTAATAGCCTATGTGCACCTGCCTCAAGATCTCTCAGTCTGTTTTACGATCCGATAGATGCATGTGACAAAACAGAAAATGCTGCTACTTACTCTGCCTGCCCCAGGTGACACTTCACCAGTCAGATCTAGGTGCAGCTGTCACAGAACATGCCACAGCCAAGGCAAGATAACATTAAAAATCACGTGCATCAATCGCGGTGTCCAGTGGCTGTAAATAGTGAGAGATCTTGAGACAGGCGCAACGCTTTGGTGCCACGTACGGGATGCGAACTCCATAACGGATTAAAACTGTTGAATAAAATATAAAGTAAGGTGGAAAATAAGTATAGATTTGCACTGTCTGTTTGTTTAAGTGCATCAAGTGGAGTGCGAACGGTAAAAGGTCTTGAGGCAGGTGTGACACGCTCTCTATTATGGATTAAAAGTGTAAGTGAGCGTAAACCGTGAGAGATGCTGAGACGGGTGAAAAGCGTTTGGTTAATAGTGAATATTGACCTATTGTGTGTACCGTTGTTGCTCCTGCTCTTAGCAGGGGATAATCGCTACATTTAGGGTAAAAAATACATAATTATGTATTGTGCCAAGAAGGTTGCACTGTCTGTTCGTTCACACAGGTACAAAACTGATTGGTAGTAGTTTTGGGTCGTTCTTGAACGATTCGTTCATTTTGAACGAACCTTTAATGTGACTCGGGAAGAACGAGTAGTCTCGGTGAGTGATTCGTTCAGTCGCGCATGCGCAACATCCTATAGGTTCTGTACTGGAATTAGTCAAGTAGTTCACCGGTTTCGAGTCTTCGGGTTTTTCGAGTCATTCGTTCATCACATGACAGCCCCATAAGTTTAACCAATGCAGTCTGAGCCGGAAAGAGAATTGATTAGTTCATCTCTCGAGTCTTCGGGTTTGAGTCGTTCGTTCATCACGTGACAGCCCCATAAGTTTAATGAATAGGGACAGGCGAGAGCGGACCTTCCTCATTGGAAATTTATCGCAATGAATGCGTTCAGTGCTCGCGTGCTCGTCGCAGAGACACGTAACACAAAGGTCATGTGTGTCCTCAGGTGTCAAATATCTCGGACATGGAGGCACACATTTCCTAAAATGCTCGCTCGACTTTTTGCTCTCCATAGTGCTTCACACACGCTGAACAAACAAACGGCTCCTGAAGACAAAAAATTACAGGTGCCCTTTTATACTCTGGGCACTCTGGTAATGATGTCACGGGCTGCTGATCCTAAGATTTGGAAGTGTTTCCCACATGCTTTAGACATCGGCCATGCTGATGGCATTCCCCATTGTGTCCCCTAGGGGACGCAGTGTGGAGTTCCCTAGAAAGGGATATATGTGATAGTGTTGCATTAAGACATCTGTAGCATGTTATAAGAACAGTTAAGAAGGGCATTTAAAACGATGCAATGTATTTGTTCCACTACAGTACTAGTAAAGGAAGATTGGAGGACTTTGCTGTGTGTGTGTGCATTTAATTTCTGTTAAAGGGGTCATATATGTTTTAGTCTTTTTTTAGTTATTTAATGTCATCATTTCATTTTTCATGACAATTTTCCACGCACTTTTGATTTGTAAATTGTTCTCTATAGTACTCTGGCCCATTTTCATTACAAACAGAACTGTATATGTATATTTTATAATATGTTGCTTGTTCTTAAAATGTGTAAAAGCCACTAAACAATTTGTGATATGACTAAATAACATGAAACACATTCATAAGGAGTTTTCATATCAAAACTTTTCTCATCTAGTTGGAGTGTGATATTTTGAACTCAGTGTGAAGGACTCATTGAACACATTTGAATTGTAAATAGGTCCAGTGAAAGCACTATTTTTGAGGTCTAGGTTTAATATTTTTTATGTGTTTTGTGTGTCTGTTTTCTATACAGAGGCATCTATCCTAAGCTACGATGGCAGTATGTATATGAAGGTGGTGATGCCAACGGTAATACATACAGAAGCAGAGGATGTGTCTCTGAGGTTTATGTCCCAGCGTGCCTTTGGCCTGTTGATGGCTGCCACATCACGTGAGTCTGCAGACACACTACGACTAGAACTGGACAGCGGCCGTGTCAAACTGACCGTCAATTTAGGTATCGTATTCTGCCGTATTTCTCTCTCTGTCCTTCTTTTCCTCGTCGTCTTTTCTTATATTTGCCAGTTACTGGATGTTATCATCTTTCTAACACTACAGCTAAATTATTATTGTTTTTTGATCTGCATGGATTGCTCCTGTTTGCTTTTCATTCTTTTGCTTTGTCTGTGGGGGATGTGGACAGATGAGCTCTCTCATCATTGTCTCATGTAACCTCTGACCTCATGATCGAAGCACCACGTCTGCACCAGTCATTCTCATACATGGCAATTGATTTACTTAAAAAAAATCATACATGACAGTTTAATGTACCACCAGCCCTAGATTATATGCTATGAACAGGACTGTTTCTTTGTGATATTTTTTCTGTATTTGTGTCTGCTCTGTTCATATGCTAAGATGGGTTTAACAATCAGTTATGCATCTTTCTGTATAACTATTTTTGTATCAGGAAAATATCTACCCATTCCCATCCCTCGCTCTTAATGGCATTTATCATGCCTTGTTCAAAGATGGTACTCACCCCTTCAATGGCCTTTAGCCTGCGGCCCTGTAAGCAAACAGCCTGAGACCAGAGCATCCAGCACACCTGCAGCTGGTGGCCAAAGCATCACCCACAAAACACACACAGTCATTTTTACTAATGCCATTTTTTACTAAGGCCAGATGATCAGCATCTTATACATGTTGCAACATTAAAATGATAGTGATTTCAGTAAATTCAATAACTTGGCACAATCAGAACATTCAGTCTGTCTGTTTTTTTTTATGAAGTACATGCTACAAGTCTGTGTGGTGCTAATGCATTTTGGACCAAGGCTGTTTGCTCCCACTTTTCTGTTGCGGTTGATGGCACATGATAAAAATGGCCATATGGATTCCAACCTGAATGACAGTTCCAATTGTCATAGGAAAATCTGCAGTTCTCTGTGAAATGCATACAGTTCGTGCCTTGACCAATAAGATGATAATTCATAAAAAAAAAAGAAAAGAAAGAAAGATAAAGAATACCGAAGTTGATGAATCCTTTTGGCTTAGAGCAGGCAGCCATTTTATATGGATCACTACCATATAAATTAAATACTAAAAATATAAATCTACATTTAAAATAAAATCAACAAAAAAAAAAAAGATATATTATATCAAACATACTGGCCAGAATGATAAAACGGATGTTGGAAATGATCCAAAATGGCTGCTGCTCCATGTGCTCATCCCCGGAAGGTGGTGTTTCTGTTGTTGGATGTCTGCAGCTGTATCCTTGAAGGACGCGATTTCATCTGTCACTTGTTCTTCCCCATCTAGACTGTGGCAGGATAAACTGTAACACCAGTAAGTTTTTACTCAGTTTGTTCTACATAAACACAGACATTAGCTAATGAAATTGATGTTTATTTCCCGTAGATGGTCAAAGTTTTAGCTTATTTCTTAAACAGTGTTGGTAACCTATACTACCAGATAAACGTTTGGACTCATTCTACCCATTTTTTATTATTATTTTTAATAGAGTAGATAAGGGGTTCTTGTCAGCCCAAAAATTTTACTTCAGTTATCATTTCAATAGTTAAACAACACTTTTGCATGTTCATGGTTCTCTAATTTCGCTTAGTGGTCACATGACAGGTAAAACAGATAAAATATTTACTAATGCAAATTGTATATATATATATATATATATATATATATATATATATATATATATAT